GTATCCAAAAAAATCAAACAAAAATAATGTTGGATTTACAACTGCTCTGCCTAATGTGATCTCTAAAGCAAGAAAAACTACCCGTAAAGGTAAAAGAATTACTGCTATAAAAAGATATATGAAATAAAACCTTATGTTTTCATTGTCTCTATTTACCAACCACCTCAAACCTATGGGCCTGCTTCCCAGATAACCAATGTTATGAGCCAATATTTGTGTGTGTGTATGTATGTATATATATATATTTTCTGGCTGTACAATAATAGAATCATATGCATGGTTCCTCCTCACCTCTGATCCAGGTATATTGATATAGATTTCTTTTATCTTTCATACCTTTAAGTTGCTACATATTTTATAATGTGATATAATTTACTCAACTATTTCTCTATTGAATGATATTTACATTCTTTATCAAATTGTTTTTTACTATGACAAGCAATCATTGTGCATATATATGCGTATTTATACTGTGATGATTATATTTCTAGAAATAGATCATATAAACTGGGATTGCAGTATTAAAGGGTATGTATGTTTTTATTTTAATAGATGTTGACAAATTACTTTCCAGATTACCATAGTTAACAATTCTAGTAGTGAATTCATGAAGGGCTTATTTCTCAGCATCTTAGACAGCACTAGACATTTTATAGATTGGCAAACAATATTGTTAAGATATCAATACCATCCAAAGTGATCTACAGATTCAGTGCAGTCTCTATCAAAATCCCAAAGGTGTTTTTTTAAGAAATTGAAAAGTCCATCCTAAAATTCATAAGGAATTTTAAGGGCCCCTGAATAGTCCATATAACCTTGAAAAAGAATAAAGGTGGAAGACTCACACTTCATAATGTCAAAACTTACTACAAAGCTTCAGTAATCAAAAAAGTGTGGTACTGGCATAAAGACAGACATATAGACCAATGCAATGGAATAGAGAACCCAGAAATAAACCCTCACATATATGGTCAAATAATTTTTACAAGAATGCCAAGACCATTCAATGGCAAAAGGAGAATTATTACAACATATAGTGCTGGGAAAAGTGGATATTCACATGCAAAAAGAATGAAAGTGAACCCATACTTTACATTATAGGCAAAAATTAGCTTAAAATATTAATAAATCAAAGACCTAAAAGTAAGTGCTAAACTATAAAACTCTTAGAAGAAAACATAGGGAAAATTTTTCATGACATTGGATTTGTTAATTATTTTTTGGATATGACATCAAAGGCACTGCGAAACGAAGAAAAAAGAGACATATTTTAGCAAAACTTAAATATAGTTCATCAAAGGACAATATTAATAAAGTAAAAAGGATAGGAGAAAATATTTAGAAATCATATATCTGACCAGTTAATATCCAGAATATTTATAGAACTCCTGAAACTCAACAATGAAAACAAAATACTTGATTAAAAAATGAGCAGAGGACTTGAATAGACATTTCTCTAAAGATGATATACAATAACCATAGGCACATGAAAATACAGTACACATCACTATTCATTAAGGGAATGCAAATGAAAACAATGAAATACCACTTCACACCCAACAATATGGCTATTATTTTTAAAAAGAAAGAGAAAAAGAAAAAAAAGATAAAAGTAAGTGTTGGCAAAGATGTGGAGAAATTAGAACCTTTGCGCGTTACTGGTGGGAATGTGAAATGGTACAGCTGCAATGGAAAAAACAGTGTGGGGGTTCCTGAAAAGACAGATTTTTATTTTTTTTAAAGCTACTATGAAGGAATCAGTATCTTGTTTTTGGTCTGTTTCAGACTTTGTGTTTCTTCAATTTCAGTTTTGTTAGGTTGTATGTTTCTAGAAATTTATTCATTTCTCGTAATTTATCTACTTTGTTGGTATATAATTTTTGATAGTCTTATAATCCTTTGTATTTCTGTGGTAGTAGTACTGTCTTCTTTCATTTATAATTTTATTAATTTGAGTCATTTATCTTTTTTTCTCAGTCTAGCTAAATGTTGGTTAATTTTATCTTTTCAAAATACCAACTCTTAGTTTTATTGATCTTTTATATTGTTTTTCTTATCTTTATTGCTTTTATTCTTCTCTAGTCTATTAATTACTTCCTTCTGCTAACTTTAGGCTTAGTTTATTGTTCCTTTTTTAGTTTTTTGATGTGTAAGACAGGTTGAGATATTTCTTGTATCTTAAGGCAGTCATTTATTGCTTTAACCTTAACTTTTAGGTATGCTTTTGCTGTATCCCATAAGTTTTAGTATGTTTCCATTTTTGTTTACCACTAGATGTTTTCCTTTTATTTCCCTTTTGGTTTTATTCTTTGACCCATTGGTTGTTCAGAAGTGTGCTGTTTAATTTCCACATATTTGTGAATTTCTAGCTCTCCTCCTGTTAGTGATTTTTTGGTTTAATCCAGTTGTGGTCAGAAAAAAAATACTTGATATGATTTCAATCTTAAATTATTAAGACTTGTTTTGTGACCTAATAGATGATCTAATTTGTAGAATGTTCCGTGTGTACTTGAGAGCACTTTTCTGCTGTTGTATAGAATGTTCTGTGTATGTCTGTTAGATGTATTTGGTCTATGGTGTAGTTCAAGTCCATTATTGCCCAATTGATTTTATTTCTGGGTGATCTAGCCATTGAGTGGGATATTGAAGTCCCCCACTATTATTGCATTGCTGTCTATTTTTGCCTCCATATCTGTTAACAATTGTTTAATTTATTTAGGTGCTCCAAATTGGGTGTGTATGTTTACAATTGTTATGTCCTCTTGATGAATTGACCTCTTTATCATTATATGATGACTTTGTCTCTTCTGACTATTTTTAGCTTAAAGTTTATTTTGTCTGATGTAAGTGTAGCTACCCTTGCTCTCTTTTGGTTTACATTTGCATTAATATCTTTTTCCACTCTATCTTTATTCTATGAATGTCTTGAAAGCTTGTCTCTCATAGGCATAGTCTTGGCTGGTTTTATTTTTTATTTTTTTATCCTTTCAACAACTCTGTCTTTTAATTGGTGAATTTAAACCATTTGCAAATTTAGAGTAATTATTGATATGTAAGGACTTTACCATTTTGTTAATTCCTTTCTGAATGTTTTATAGTACTTTTCCCCCTCTCTTGCTATCTTTTTTCGCACATAGATGGGTTTTTGTAGTGATATGCTTTGATTATTTTCTCTTTATCCTTTGTAATTCTATTATTTTTTTGTTTTGTGATTACCATAAGGCTTTTATAATACATCTTATAGTTATAACAGCCTGTTTAAAGCTGATAACTTTTTCAATTCCATAAAAAAGTTCTACACTTACTTGCCCCTTGATTTTATTTGATGTCTCAATTTAAATCTTTTATATATTATGTTTTATATATTTTATATATTTTATATTGTTTCCATTAACAAAATATTGTAGCTATAGTTATTTTAAACATTTTTGCCTTTTGTCCTATATGCAGGAGTTCAATGTGATTTGCACATCACCACTGCAGTAGTAAAGTATTTTGAATTTGACTTTATATTTATTTTTACCAGATTTTATACTTTCATTTATTTTTCCATGTTGCTAATTAGCATCCTTTTGTTTCAGCTTGAAGAACTACCTTTAGCATTTCTTGTAAAGCAGTTCTAGTGATGATAAATGTCCTCACTTGAAGGTGGCTGTGAGGTCACTGCCTAGGTGGGGTGCAGTGTCTCTGGTTCCTGGGAAGGCACAGCAATATATTTTCCATACAGCTCTGCACTGAGGTCAACTTTGGGGAACACTGTGGGGGTCTCCTGTAGTCAGGACTGCAAAGGTCCTGTAGGAGGGCATCGCAACTAGAGCTGTTAGGGTCCTTGGAGGTGAAGGCTGTTGTGGTCTTGTTCTACTTTTTTGCCCATGGGAGGTAGTTCTACTGAGCAAAACCCTCTTGGTGCTAGGTCTGGTGTGTTGGCACTCAGATCATCAGCAGAGCCAGTCCTGGGATCAGGCGCAACACGGAACTACCACAGTGCTGGGATTCTGGGACACAGGTACACTTGTCGTGGCAGTGGCGCTAGTGTCTGAGGTGTAGGCATGTGCAGATTTCCTGTGGAACTGAGGTCTGTGTCTCTGGGATTCGCTGCAGTGACTGGGGAAGGGAATTGGGGGGTATGCAGCAGCGACAAGGACTCTGGGATGACAGGGTGTGGTGGTGGCTTGGGCCCAGGGAGCAGTGTGCAGTAGCATCATGGCCTGGGGATGGTGTGTCAAGTCCCAACTCTGGCCCTAGGGGGCAGTCACAGAACACAGCAGTATGTCCAGGTGACAGCCCATTAAAGCCACGTGTCAGGAGGACACAGAGGGTGGAGTTTAGAGCAGCACCAAGTTAGCCTGGTAATGGCCTGTCAAAGCCTCTACCTAGGACCTGGGGCAGGGCTCAGAGCAGTGTAGCTTCTCTGGTCCCATAGATGATAAGGCACTGTAGCTCCCCAACCTTGGAAAATGGGGTACAGCAGCTACTGGGGACCCTGGGGGCAGGTCTCAGTCACAGCTCAAGCCCTGGGGACTAGATGGGGGGCTTGTTGGAAGGGGGACCCCAAGCAGCTCCATCAGCTGGGATCAGCACTGGCGCACACTGCTGGAGACCTCAGTAGCAAAATCTGCAAACGCCCATGAAAGTGAGGCATGTTGGGGTTCTTCTGCTCTCCTTTAACCCCCGGGGTGAAATCCTTTCAAGGGGATCCCTCCTGGCTGCCCTGGGCTGGAGGATGAGGTGACTCGGGCAAAGTGCTTCCTACACTTTTTTACTCAGCCATCTTGGGTTTTGACCTCAAGATTTCTGCTGCTTTTTCTTTGTAGAGCAGAGCTTTCCTAGAGCTATTTTCATTGGTTTGTAGTTGTTTATTGTTTTTGTGGGGGAAACAGCATGGGGACCTCCTACCCCTCCATCTTATTGATGTCGCCTCTATTATTTATTCAAAGAAATCATGCATTTTTTTCTGCTTATTTTTTAAAGTATAAAAATATATCTTCAAAATTTTTCCATATCGGCACACCCAAATCAGTCTAATTATTTTTAAGTCCTTTATATTTGCACATACTATAGTTTATTTAACTGGGCCTCTTAAATGGGCACTTAGGTTCTTTCCAGTTTTTTCTCTATAACAATGTTGCAATAAGCATCACTGGAATCAACAGATATTTTATAAGATAGTCTTGGTTTCCATCAGCTCAAAGATAAGTTTTCTACCTAAAGGGAACTGCTGGTATTTCCTCCCTGACACTAATTTCTTTTGATCTTCTTCTTTCACGTTTTACAAATTGGACTCATTTAAAACCGATTTTTTTAAAAAGAAACATAGATATATTAAGCATGTACATTTTATGTATTCCACAGAACACTATTCCAGTGAACTTGAAATTTTTAAATTTCTGTATCAGCGCTTCTCAAAGTGTGATTTCTGGACTAGCAGCCTGGGCATTAACTATTACTATTAACATTAACATAACATTAACATAACAATAACTATTGTAATTAGAAATACAAATTTGTGAACCCCACCGCAGATCTACTGAATCAGAAGCTGTGGGGTTTGAGTCCAGCAGTCTGTTCTAACCAGTCCTCTGGGCGATTGTGATGCAGGCTAAAACTGGAGAACCATTGTACTCTATTTATACTAAGTTAAGGATGGCCTGGTATCATTTCTATAGAAACATAAGTAGTTAGACTTATGTACTGCTTTTCCATTTCCATTTTTACTATTATTCATATATAATAATATTGTCTTCCATGATATCATATATAATAAACATTATATTAACTATAATGAAATTAAGTAAAACTATTTTTTAAATTTTACACAACTTTTCTTTAAAGTGCCACGTACCACTGCTCAAAATTCTCCACGCCACTCATACTCTTAACAAATGAATTCTGGGAAAGCTAAGCAACATTTGCAAATTCATGGAGACAGAAATGAAAATTACAAGTGTGAAAGCCTCATGAAAATAATACTGACTTGAGTGGATGGTGCCTATTGAATAATAGTGGGAAATACCCTGTAGGCTCAGATCATGGAGGTTCTTAATCTGCAGCAGGTGAGTTTGAATGTTTAAGTTGCTTTCCCTTTTTTCTTTAAAACAATGAGTTATCTTTTAAATCATAAGTGATGAAAATAGTCACCATATTTAAAATGTTAATGTTTGAACACTGCACAACCAATTTCAAAAAGTAAGTAAACACAAATTCCTCATGACAATAACCTGATATGTATGTGTTAAAGTGTATTCTGTAAAATTTTTAATGGCACAAATACAAGTGATAAGAATTTTAAAGACATAATTCTTGTCAATGTTAATAACATTAAAATATTGGTTTTAACCACATTTTTACTGTGCCCTGGGAAGTATAAATATTATTGGAAAAGACTGTCTTAAATCCAGTCTGGATTATTACTGACTTCTAGGAATTTAAATTTATATATCCTTTTGTACCTTGAATGTCAGTATATTTCTCCCCAAGGATTAAAGCAATGAAAAATAACAATAATCTAAGTACTCTGGAGATCTGTTTTGTGACAAAAAATACAAAAAATTGGGTTTCTATAAAAACAATATAAATTGAAATAAAATTAATGAAATAATGGCTATACTCTATCTCTCACTGTAAAGATATGTTATATAGTAGTAAAATGTACAACTTATAAATTAAGAAGAAATCATGAATTAAGCACAAAGTACCAGAGAATATAAATAAATTCTTTATTGACATTATCTATTCTCTGAAACTGTGAAAAGATCCCAGAGGTACCATAAAGATGAAATGTATGAATAACTCTTGTGAGGATTTTGGAGAGAATATATGCAGAAATGAATAGAATTGTTATTGCAAATTGCCAATAGTTGGGTTGTGAGCAGGGTGAATTTTATGCTTCTCTCTAGAATTATTTTTCCAACGTAAGTTTTAGTTTCGTATAGCAGTCTGCCTGCATGAATGGTGATTGCCAGGTATGTAAATTAGAATATCATCTTCATAAATAGCTCTGTCTAGAAGGTTGTGAAAGAATAATTTTTGTTCATAAAAATTATGGGATCATTCATGCTGTTGAAGCTTATTCAATTGGCAAAATTGCCTTTAACATTACACTTTCCATTTGTCACTATTTCTAATTGAAAATTAGCGGTGTCCTAAACATTCAGTCCCAAAATGTCTCAGAGCTGGTCCAGGAGATTATAGAGATCAACAGGAGCAGATAGTAGTCTAATTGTAACCATTTGATGCCTTAGTACTTTGTAAGAGGAAAAAAAAATCCTTATTTTTCTTCTTCAAAAACATGTGATTACTTGGGGAAGGGGGGCTAAAGGAACTTATTTTCTCCCTCTAAATGTTGGTGGTTAACTTTTTGCACAGGGGCCATGATTTTAGGTAGGTAGGTAGGTAGGTGGGCGGAGGAGAGAGAGAGAGAGAGAGAGAGAGAGAGAGAGAGAGAGAGAGAGAGAGAGAGAGAGAGAGACAGAGAGACAGAGAGGTTCACTTGGAAGTTCCTAGGTACCAGTTGATTCCAGTTATATTCATGATGCAGGGGCAATATTCAATTGGTTTCTGATTTAGGAAACAATTCTCAGTATCTATGCTCTTATCTAGATTAATGAGCACTGGGGTGGCAAATAATACAGAATTTTTAACATGGTGTCTGTGTTACTTATAGGATATGAATTTGCAACAGAAATGTTTGAGTCATTGGGCCAAGGAATAAGGGATGTTGGTCACTAGAGTGAAATCCTGGTCCATGCAGCTGCCTGACACTTTGAAGTCTATCATTGCTTTAATCTGATGGCAGGAACACATCACACATAGTTTCACTGAGACACGGACTGCTGTATCTGAGTGTACAGACTGGCAAGAGTCAAGTACTGTAATTGTTCTGTCTCTTGTATCTTTTCTACCCTTCTATCACCTATCTGAAGGGCAGTCAGGTGCCTGAGTTGCAGATGGTAAGCTTACAGGCTGGGTGCCTGTGTTTAACATGCCTCAATACCCCAAAATATAAGTATGGTAATACCTCGCTTTGCAAGCATAATTCGTTCCGGAAACAAACTACCCATATTGCAAGGCATCTCTTGTTTACCAAGTTAAAATGTATTATTAGGTTGGTGCAAAAGTAATAGCTGTTTCTGCCATTACGAGTAATGGGAAAAACCGCTATTCCTTTTGCACCAACCTAATAGAAATGTTTGCTCATCTTGCAGAACACTCGCAAACCAAGATACTCACAATCCAAGGTTTTACTGTATAATTCCTAAACTAGGAATACAGAATTCCCAGGCCCTTCAGTTTGGTCGTAGTTCACAGTGGTAGAAACTATGAGTGGACAGGCTCTCATATGTGAATATATTCTCATGGTTAAGTCTGTCAGTTCAGAGCCTATGCTAATCATTTGAAGATTAAGGACACAAATTCATCTAAATTACTCAAGGAATGTAGCAGCAGATAACGGATGGGAACCCATACAACTGGACTGTAAAGTCCAGGACTTTAATCTCTACTATATATCCCACCACAAGGCCAAAGCCTTAACAGTCCATCTCACAATGCTGTTAAAAAATTATTCTGACAGTTGTTAAAAATGGTAATGGAGACTTTAATCAAGGCTATTGTAATAGGGGAAGGAGACAGGACTCCAAATACAGGAAAGAAAACTGGGGATTTATAGTCAATGAGCAGAGTGAGGATGTAAAGTGACTAAAAGAGGGCATTAAGCACGGGGGCTTCCTACTAAATTAGCCTAACTGTGTTCTTGCTAAAAGCAGGACAAGGAAGGGCCCAGTATCAGGCCTAGTTGAAAAGAGGGCTTAAAAAAGCCCAACTAAAGTTTGCTTAAGGAGGGAGTCTTTGTCAATGTCCATGTAAAATGAACTTTTTAACACTGGGAAAAGATGATTGGTTTTGAAAACCAAAAGCTCTAGATAGTATTTTGAAAAAATGCCATGCATTCTTTTATCGGCTTTTAATATTTATAAATATTAAGTTATATTGTAGTTCCTTATCTACTTGAAAACCCAAATTAAATAAAAGTGAAATAATGCTCTTATGTATTTAATTAGGGTTTTTCCCCACAATTCAAAATTATTGCACTATTTCAAAATGTGTTTGTATTGATAGGCTTCTGCTTTTGTGAAAAAAATAATAGGTATTGAAATCTCTACATTTAGGAATTTAATCTTTCACATATAGCTCAGCATACAAGAGTTCAGCATATAGTATACAGTCATTGTGGATTCCAGACATAGATTAAAAGTGGTTTCTTTGACACATCCTTGGTGTCTCTCAGCAACACATGGATAAATTTTAAATCCAAATACATACACATATATACAAAGTAACACAAGTAAGTTCGTGAACTCATTCTAGAAAAAGCGCTACATACCTCATTACTGAGTATCACTATGGTCACTTCAAAGTGCTCCCCTTGGGAAGCTATGCACTGATGCCAGTGCCTAGTCCATCCTTCAAAGCAATTTTGGAACTCATTTTTTGGAATGGCCATCAGAGCTGTCGTCGTATTACCCTTGATGTCCTGAATATCATCAAAATGTCTTCCTTTCAATATTTCCTTTATCTTTGGGTAAAGAAAGAAGTCATTGGGGGCCAGATCAGGTGAGTAGGGAGGGTGTTCCAATACAGTTATTTGTTTACTGGCTAAAAACTCCCTCACAGACAGTGCCATGTGAGCTGGTGCATTGTTGTGATGCAAGAGCCATGAATTGTTGTCGAAAAGTTCAGGTCGTCTACCTTTTTCATGCAGCCTTTTCAGCACTTCCAAATAGTAAACTTCGTTAACTGTTTGTCCAGTTGGTACAAACTTATATTGAATGATCCATCTGATATCAAAAGAAAGGTTAGCAGCATCATTGAATAAGCTCGCGAACTTAATTGTCAGATTCTTGTACTCCACCAGCAAAGTAAATTGTTTTAAAAAAATGAGAGACCTAGTGAAGGATAACATTTTATCCCATGTTATCTACCTTCATTCTATAGAACAAGTAGTGTAAAATATACTCTAGTAACAAGAAATAAACAAAACTGAAAGTTTCAGAAATGTTTGTACGGGTGTGTGTAAGAATAAGTTAAATACAATTTCCAATTCCTTGTTTATTTCAGAACTCTTCTTTACTATCTGGAACCAGTTTGAAACACTAAGACCAAAGCCTCTTTGTTGCTGATGTTAAGGAATGGAAGGAGCTCTATGTTGAAGTTACAGCTTGTCCTTGTCACCAATGTCCTTGTAATGCCTTCTGGTGTGGTGTAAAAGCAATTAAATAATATCTGTGCTGTGGATGTTTTGATAATGTCATGATTATTTGCAAATCTACTCTGTATAATACTATATAGAGAAAAGACACCTCCATACATTTTTTACACTTCCAGGTAAAGAAACTGAAATTAGAAAAGGAAATATTTTGCTTCAGTTTTTTTTCAAATAAAAACTGAAAATTTGTTAAAGAGATCAGAACAAAGTCTTTATATAAATAACATTTATTAAACCTAGTGGGGCTGTAATTCATACTACTAGCTCTAGCTGAACTACGAAAGATATTTATAAACTCAAAGAACTTATCCTGCATGGGAATGTTATTAATAAACATAAAGTCTACGGCTGGCTGAGAAGCGCATTGGTTAAGAGTTGCTTGGGACTCCAGAGGGCCCTGGTTCGGATCCCACCTATGAAGGCCAGTGACGCTGCGCTCTACAGCTAAGATGCTGAACAACAGCTTGACCTGGAGCTGGGCTGCTGTGAGTCGCCAGTGACGGTGTAGGCTGCAGCTTCTGCTGCAGTGGGCCTGCCGTGGGCTACTGTGAGTGGCTGGCAGCCGGTGTGAGCTGCCAAGAGCCACTGTGAGCAGCCGCCCAGAGGCCGGCGACCAATTTGCCTCACCTGGGAAGAACGCAATGATAATACCAACATGGGCCAGTGAAGCAACGTCCTCCACAACTAGACTGAGGAACAAAAGGACAGCAACTTGTCTGTTTCACTTCCCCCGATTCCCCAGCACTGTTCCCCTCCCTCAATTCCCCAATAAAAAATTAAAAAAGTAAACATAAAGTCTAATTGATACTAGTGTTAAAAGGGACATTGAAAAGACTAAGAAGAAAAAACTTGTAAATATTGAATTAGTAGTCCGCTATCTTTATGTTGTCGTTTTCTCTTTTGGCCCTGAGATTGATGGATTTTCATTACTACTATAATCTAATCACAGGCCTCTTTTTATATGAAGATTTTAAAATTATTTTTAGGATATTTTATCAGCTTTTAATATTTATAAATGTTAAGTAATATTTTAGCTCCATATCTACTTGAAAACCCAATTGAAATAAAAGTGCAATAATGCTCTTATGTATTTAATTAGATTTTTTCCCCACAATTCCAAGTTATTGCACTATTTCAAAATGTGCTTATATTGATAGGCTTCTACTTTGGTGAAAAAATAACAATAGGTAATAAAATTTGTACATTTAAGAAATTGATATTTCACATATAGCTCAGCATACATGAGTTCAGCATATAATATACAGTCATTGTGGATTTCAGAGGTAGATTCAAAGTGGTTTTTTTGACACATCCTTGGTGTCTCTCAGTAATATATGCACAAATTTTAAATCCAAATACATATATACTCTATCAGCAAAGTGATTTGTTTTAAAAAATGTGAGACCTAGGTGAAGGATAACATTTTATCCCATGTTATCTACATTCTATAGAATATATTTCTTTAAACCACCTTCGAGTTCAGAGCATGAGTTGTAACAAATCACATACAACATAAAATTTTACTCTATGTAGAATTCCTTTTACTTGTTATTCAAAAGATGATCATTTGGCCTCTCCTTAAGTACATCTCATGCCAGTGATCTGACTCTCAATTGTGTGAAATTTCTCACTGTCAGAATTTTGTTCTTAATATTGAGTCCAATTCTACCTTCATATAAGTTATTTCTATTGGTGAAGCTAGAATGAAGCTGGAAAAAAATTTATTTTAAAGGGGATTAAATGAGATAAAAGTAGAGTTCTTAGCCAGTGCCTGGAACCAAAAATGTTACCTAATGATTATCATCAGAACCATTGAAAATGCTTTATAAAAATTGTCTCCATAGATGTGGAGATTAAATAAGCTGATATATTTAATATATTTGTAGGATTATTAGGGGACATTTTACTCAGAGTGAAGAGACAGAACTCAATATGTATGGTATTATATAACATTCTTAAGAATAATCCTTAAATGTTTTAAGAACATAATATTGATTGAAAAAAATCAAATCACACTGGCAACTGAGATTCAAAACAAAAATAATGTATATAAGCCCTGAACTCTAGTCAATAAATTTGTTTCTTACAGAAGTACAGGTTAACAATTCTGAATATACTTTACAGGTTTACTGGGATCAAACAAATAAATACAGGAATGACTGAGAGTGGGAGCTAGGTTTCTCACTATTGGAGAGGAGCTATAGATAAGCAAGATGGAGAGCCCAGAATGAACTCCATGGTGATGAGTATATGGGAAGACTTTTTACTATTTTTGAAACTTGTCTGTAAGCCTAAAATTATTTTAAAATAAAAGCAATTTTTTAAGTAATCACCCAGAAAATATTTGTATAATCAAATGAGAAGATGAACAGGAAACCCTCAATTTAAGATTTGGACAGAAGAACAGGTTTTGTTTTAATAATATATGTTGGCTTTCATAATTTAACCATTATACTGCAAGGTTATGATTCCTATTTCCAAAGTGTGTTGAACGCATCATATTTGCCTCAGAGGGGAAGGATAAAGTAAGTGGCCTTAAACGCTTTGGATAAAACTTTATAACCAATTACTATAAGGATCAAGTAGGATAGCAGCAGTGAAAGTACTATGAAGGTATAAGGTATGTAAGAAGGAAAATAAACAAGGGTGGTCGAATAAAAGTCTGAAAACAAAATTGAATTTAATTCTTGGCTGGCAAGGGAAGAATGCACCACACAGGTGTGACTACAGAAACTGAAGGAATTAGATACAGGGCAAAAGAGAAGAATAAGATTATATGTATTAGGGAAATGCAAAACAAAACCACAGTGAGATATCACCTCACACTCACTTAGAATAGTAATTTGTTTTAACTTCCAGAAAATAAAAAATATTGTGCAAGTAATGGGACTGGCATAAATGGCATAGTTGGTAAAATGGTAAAATGGCATAGTCGCTGTAGAAAATGGTATAGCAGTTCCTCAAAAAAAATGAAACAATTACCATACGGGGTCTAACAAGTTTGCGAACTTGTTGAAACGATGCTGCTAACCTTTTTTGATATCAGAGGGATTATTCATTATGAATTTGTACCAACTGCACAAATAGTTAACCAAGTTTACTATTTGGAAGTGCTGATAAGGCTGCATGAAAAAGTTAGACGACCTGAACTTTTCACCAACAATTCATGGCTCTTCCATCATGACAATACACCAGCTTACATGGCACTGTCTGTGAGGAAGTTTTTAGCCATAAACAAATAACAATATTGGAACACACTCTCTACTCACCCGATCTGGCTCCCAATGACTTCTTTCTTTACCTGAAGATAAAGGAAATACTGAAAGAAAGACATGTGGATGACATTCATAACATCCAGAGTAATACGTCAACAGCTCTGATGGCCATTCCAGAATAAGAGTTCCAAAATTATTTTGAAGGGTGGACTAGGCACTGGCATCAGTGCATAGCTTCCCAAGGGAAGTACTTTGAGGGTGATCATAGTGATATTCAGCAATGACGTATGTAGCACTTTTTCGAGGATGAGTTCACAAACTTAATTATCAGCAAATTCACTTCCAAGTACATATCCAAAATAATTGAAAGCGAGCATGGAACAGATATTTGTACACCTGTGTTTACAGCAGCATTATTCACAATGGCCAAAAGGAAGAAGCAATCCAAGTGTTTGATAATGGATAAATGGATAAAGAAAACATGATATATACATACAATGGAATATTTATTTAGCCTTAACAAGGAAGGAAATTCTGACACATGCGTCACATGGATGAACTTTGAAGACATTACGCTAAATGAAATAAATAAGCTAGTCTCAAATGAACAAATGCTGTATAATACCACATATATGAGGTACCTATAGTCAAGTTTATAGAGACACAAGGGAGAAGCTTGCCAGGTGCCAGGGAAGAGGTAAATAAGCAGTTCTTGTTTTAATGGGGACAGAGTTTCAGTTTGGAAAAATGAAAAGATTAGAAATGAATGGTGGTGATACTTGCACAACGTTGTCAGTGTACTTAATGCCACAGAATTATATATTTTAAAGTGGTTAAGAGAGCCATGGTGATCTGGAGACATGTTTGTTGCAGGGACAGTGCACCAACTACAAGGAAGGACGTCATGGACTTGCTAAAGTGGCATTCAAGAGCTAGGCTCCTGGCTTCAAGTTCAGATGGCAGAGTAGGAAGATCCTGAGGTCATCTCTTCTCATTGACACCAAACTACCACTACATATAGAACAGCAATCTCTGTATTGCATCTCTGAAGACTAACAGAATATGTTTTCTACAACTATGAATAGAAAGAAAAAGTCACACTGAGATGGATAGGAGAGGCAGAGACTCAGTTTATTTAGGACCCACTCTACCTCCCAATCCCCATGTGGTGACCCACAAGGAGGAGGGACATTGCAACTGTGTTGGTTCCCCTCTGTAGAGTGAGGGGTCGGAGCCCCAGCCTGGGGAACCTACACTGGGAAGAGGAGCCCCATAATATCTGGCTTTGAAAACCAGCAGGGCTTCCAGGCTGGTCACAGGCAAGGCTGAAATTGGCCTAACGAGAGCCCTTCTGAAGAGGCACCAGAAACAACATACCTAGAAGCCGGCCTCAGACCACACCAAAGCATTTCGTGGTTAGCCCCACAAGTGGAACACCCAAAGTGGGGGTCTCAACAGGCACAAGAGCTTGCAGGGGAGCAGTGTCCTGTGAGGGGTCAGTCCCCATACAGCAGCTCATATGCTGTGAGCATAGCCAATCCTCACAGCCAGTCAGCCTGGGAGTCAATCCCACCCACTGATGTGCCAACAGAAATCAAGGCTCAACTACAACAGAATACATACTACACACACAAGGGATGTTCCTGGAACACATGCACAGGAGATCGGGGAGACTCTGCCATTGGACCACACAAGACACCTACTACATAAGGCCACCCATAAGGACTAAGAGACATAGGAGATCTACCTAATACACAGAAGCAAACAGAGAGGCAGCCATAATGAGGAAATAAAGAAACATGTTGCAAATAAAAGAACAGAACAAAGGTCCAGAAAAAAAAAAAAAACTAAATGAAATAGATACAACCAAATTACCAGAGACAGAGTTTAAAACACTACGTAT